GGCCCAGACACTTCCAGAATGTTCTCCGCCGTAAGGCGTCGAGGTGACAACGGTGTGTCAGCTCTGGGAGTTGCGACACACTGCTCCACCGTAAGGCGTAGCGGTGACGACAATACATCGACTCCGGGAGTCGATGCGACAGACTGTGTGGACGGCTGCAAACATCCAGTACCAAAGCTTGCGTGCTTTCATTCAGCCGGGCTGGACGAAGCACGGCAGCAAGAACCCGCTGGCGTCGCCCGCAGACTAGATTGTCTGCCGGCGATATCAAGGAACGTTCGTCCATGGCCATGCCTGGACGAAACGCAAGTGAATCAGGGATTCACAAAAAGAAGCGACGGCGCAAGCAAAAGACGCTGCGCAAGTTTCGGTCCGGGACCGAGACTCTTCATGGTATGTCTGCCGGGCAGACACAAGTGCCAACAGTGGCCGTCGAGACGTTGAACGTCTTGACGCGGGCCTGTACTGGGTATCAGTACGAGAAGATGGAGTTGGAGAACCCTCCGACTGATACGTCGGGGTTGATCTCGCTTCCAGTCATGAGCTGAAAGCGCTTCGCTAAAGACCTGTACGATGGACGCATCGAACAGCTATGCATTCATTCGGACCGCGAAAGAATGACAAGCGAAGCAGAAGAGTTGATGCAACTCTTCGCCGGAAGCGCCACTGAGAGTGAGGATACTCTCAGTGCCAAGACGAACAAGGAGCGCTTCGAGGAGCAGGGTTGGGACTCACTGAAGTCGAGTCCCTATTACGAGATTCTGCGCAGGGACGAGCTCCCGGACGAGATCCCTGCGGAGCTTCCGCAGGACAAGGGAATACAGCACGAGATTGATCTCGTGCCAGGAACGAAGTATTGCGTGACGCGGCAGTGGCCACTGCCGCGGGAGCAAGTGAAGGCAATCGACGACATCTTCGAAATTCGTCGCAAGGCAGGACAAGTGCGGGAATCAAAGTTCCCGTACGGCACACCAACATTCTGTGTCAAGAAGCCACAGGGTGGTTGGCGCATCGTT